AAATAGGTGTGAAAATAATTAATATTCAATAAAATAAAACGTTATATGATATAGAATCACAATCAGCACGGTAATTCTTTACCTTCTATAGAATATTAATTGTCTATAGAAATTAAAATAGGTACAATGAAGAAACTTTTAACCAGATATGAATACGTAATAAATTAAAATTTTAAGAATAATATTTTTTACAAAATAGCTATTTTTAAAATATTCTAAAGTGAAAAATAAAGTTATTTTTTTTTGTGTGTGTGTGTGTGTGTGTGTTAAGGAATGAAAATAAAAAATTTAACTTTTTTTTTGAATTGATGTCCTCCACAAAACTGATTGAAAAAAAAACTAAAATCAAAAAAAATGTAATATTTAACAGCGCTAGAAAAATCCGTCGAATAAGGTGAGAGACACACTGTACTTACTGATATACAATTCTTAAATTTAATTTATCAGTTTCATAAGGGCTAGGAAAGAAAAAGTTTTCTATTTTATAACCATTAGGGACTGAAAAAAATTAGAGGAATACCACGTAGGACGTGCGGAATTGTAACCTCCGGATATAAAAATGTCAATTTCTGGTACTATGTCGAGATCTTAATGTACCTTATATAATTAGAGCTTTTTTTACATTAAAATTTTTCAATCAAATTAATTTCAATATAATTTAGAAAGAATGAACATGGTTTAAGTCCAAACTAGAGCCGGAGGTAAAAATCGATGCAAAGATGTGCTAACAAATTTGCTGACTTTAATTACCAAATTAATTGACTTCAAAGAATGTTTTTTACTCATCGTTTTGTCCTTAAATAATTAATAAATTTCATTACATCAATAATATAACGATAATACGGTAAACAATAACGAGAAAATAGATATTCCTACTCTCTTATCTCAACTCATTTTTAAAATTCCACTTCGTCTTATCAACTCTTCTCCGCCTACCATAATTTCACTTTCTTCTAATAATTTTTTCAACTCATCCGTTTCTCACCTTATGCACGTTGACAACTTGGAACCCTCATTAAACCTGTAAGCTGTCTATTTCTCTACTTGTGTTGTTTTGGGCTTGTCCTATATATTGAATAAAATAAATATCACATCATAAACGAAATATTTAAAGAATATTCTGAATGTATATTCATTAATCACGTATGAAAAAAACGAACATAAACCAAGAAATCATAAGCTGTTCCGAATTTACAACAAATTAACATTGGATTGACGACATAGAAATCTGAATTTAAAAGTTTAGGTGGTATAAGGTGAAACACCATACCCCTATGCACTCCTGGTCAAGATCAAAACAAATGTTTTCAGTGAAATGAACTACGGGGGAAAATAATATCTCATTTTTAGAAAAAAATGCGATAAAAATCAAAATACTGTTAAATAATTAGATTAGGTTTTAAAGACTCCTGAATTTTAATTTAATTTTTAAGTATAACTATTTCACACTATTTAGAGACCACAGTGAACATACATACAGTTCACTGTTATAACCAATCAAACGTGAGCTACAAATAAAATGTGTGTTCCGTACAGTTTTTATAAATTCTGACCGGAGCGAAAAAGTTATTATTTCTATAATAACGGTTTTCCTCACCCTTCCTAAATGTTTTTTAGACCGGTAAACATACTCGAAAAGTTTCTCGGCTGCAACTTTGTAGACAGTAATTGAACACAAACGGTACCTACTTATAACTATATGTATAGAGAGGTAATTTTTCGAATTTTCCAATTCAATGCCCCACCGCGTTCTGAAAATGCTTCTCAATCCACGAAAAACTAAAAAGCCCGAGGCAAAAGAGGGCAAGTAAAATATTGTGTTTATATGTGTATTCCGTAAGTTTTAATCGAAATCATTCTTGGAACGCGATAATTATACTTACATCGAGAATTCGAATACTTAATAATGTAATAAGTTTTCAATACCATGCAATGATGTGATTTAAAACAAATATATATTTTTTTTTAAATACATTCAATAATGTCAAATAAATGGTAAAAAAAAACCCATTATTTATTTGACTACGACGTTCTTTTGTTGAATTTTTTATTGTATATGTGGAACACTTAAAGGGAATTCTCTTCTATACAAATAATAAGGTAATATTTGAACATAATATTGTAGACTTAACACCGTATCGCTTAGCGTTTAAAAAGTCGATTATCATCATGTAACGGACAATGATGGCTCGAAGAAAGAACTTCGTATATAACAATAGAAATAGACCAAAATTAACGATCGATCATAGTATACACAAAACCAAAAATATTATATGCATACATACAAAATAGGACGTAAGTGTATATTTGTTTTTATTTTCTTGGCTATAGCCTTCAAAATTAACTTTCTATAAAAAAAAATATCTCTCTAATAATTCCAAATATCGCAGTCTTCTACCAAATTTTGCTAATCTATATCTGAGTTATTTCTGCCACATTAGCTGTCCTAACACAGTCTTTTCTTTTTCCATTAAAATCTCCCCATAACATTATCTTCACACAGGCCCTGACCATTGTAATCTTCTCTTATATTTCTGGTCTGCTCCGTATATAGGTATCTTAGAGTAAGAGTTTTAATTCTACGTGCAATTGCTAAGATCATAATAATCAAACCATTAAAATTCTATTAATGTGTAATGAATTTATCATTGTCAGATTATACTCCATTATGTGTCCGATTTCACCTTAATATATAATATATAGTTAAACAAATTATAAACATTTTACTTTAAATTTGTATTTTAATTATATCCAATAGAAATTGTATTCTTTTAACTGGAGTTTATAAATTCAATATTTCATCATTAATAAATAATAAGTTACATAATTTGATACATTTTCAATCAATAATATTTTATATTGAGGTAAATACTATGTAAGTCTCGTTATGCCTTAGGTTCTCCTATATAATAATATGTATTACAATTTTTTTTTTTAAAGCGATCGATCGTTGTTACATGCAGTAATGACCCGTCTAACACAATAATTTCTGCCCTATGTAAATAAGATGTGAAATAACCGATCACCGTGTAAATTATAGTACCCGATATTGCAGCCACAATAAAAGTCTGCATATTTGAAATTTAATTTCAAGTTCGTACGCACGTGTTGTATACAAGGCACGGTATAATAGTGTAGGTAAATACGATAAATTTTGAAAACATTTTAATATCGAAAAACACTCATTTACTCGAATGTGATGAATATCGATAGTAGTGATATACCTAATATTTAATAAAAGTGAGAGAGAAGGAAAGTACATAAAAGCAAATTTAAAATTACACGCTTTTAAAAATAAAAGAGTAAATTTCTCTTGGCTGGCCTTAATCTACCGATTCACCCCTAAAAGCATGGCCCCCGTAGTCTGTATCCCCCTGGTTATGACACTTATCTATAATTACAATTTATATCGTAAAAAGTGTAATTATAGTAAAAAAAAAGGTAAGGAAACGATTCAAATCGTTGATCAAAAAGTATGAAGCGTTTTTTTTTTAAATTATGGTAAACGACTGTTTAGATGATTGTTTGCAAAACAAAAATACGTCCAAAATAATTGTTTCCTAAGATTGTCGTATACCAGGTAGTACGAGCAGGTTTTTATTGATGGAAACGAAAAAAACTGTTCTAGGGTAATGACGAGGTTGCAGCCACTATTGTTGGTGAGAAATTGGGAAGGTAGGTAATAGAGGGGAAATTAATTTGTAAGTCATTGTAAAACATTGCTTACTAAAAACGATTCTGAGCAGAGTTCAGTTGATAAAAATGCTTTTTCAACAATATATACATGTCATATTATATTTGATTATTTTCAAATACAATATTTGTTTAATATAGTACTGATTTTCCAATTTTTCCTAGTTTTCTCATGTTTTTCACGGGTTTTCATATTTGATAAGAAAATTCCTGAAAAAATCGAATTATGACTTCCTTAAAGTACCCAATAAAATTTCCATTCAGAAAATGGTCAACATCGTATCTAACGGAGAAACCATTCTAGTAGAAAAAATGTTCACATAAAAAAAAAAAAATAAACATCTTTGTAAAACCAATATATTCTTTGTTAGACTTAGAATCTAAAATTATATTAATGATAAAATATGTTACCTGACGAATAAAAATTAAAACAATTAAGTGTACTATTTCTTATCGATTTATACAATTATATTTGTTGGCTGTTCGATCACGGCCATTTGCGTATAATATTAATATTCTGATTTAACACAACAAAACTTTAATAAAATCAAATTATATGTCTAGCATAATAATAGTAAAATTTACATTGGATAACAGTTATCTTTTACATATAACAATAATAATGCAATGAACACGGCTGTAAGCTGTTTATTGTATTATATCTAATTGTTTATAGCTATCCTGTTCAGAGTTTTCTTTGTCACAGATTAGACCAATAGTTGCATAGTGATTAATAATAATATACACTCGTAGGTATCGAATATAATGAAGAAAATCAGAATGTCTAATAATTAACCAAAAAATAAACTAGCGGGAATATTAGGACTAGATTTAACTAACAAAGATAATAATTGATAAACTGTTTGATGATTGCCAACACTTAGTATTTAAGTTAAAAAATAATCCAGAATTTTGGAATTATCTCAAGTTTCAACTCAACCCGAAATGGATAAAATCAATAAATTAAACGTTAAAATGGATACAGACGACTCGCCTAAGACCGTCAAATTCCCTAACGAAATCACATCGACTTGCATGCAAGTAAAACCCGTTGCCGATAACATATCGAATTGTAAAAACGTCCAAAAATCGACCACCGAATGCCAGTCGGCTGTACATAATGATGTAGCTAGGAGCGGTTGTCTATGAAGGGCTTGAGAAAATTACACGATTCATGACACGAAAATCGTAATAATAAACTGCCTAACGACCGAAGTTCTGGTTTTTGTTTGCAGATTGGAATACCAGAAATAAAAAAATGAAGAAATGATAAAACTACGATGCCACTACGTCTGTGAGTTATAAAAATGATTAAAAGCCCTCCACCGATAACGATTCAAATTGTAAGAATAATCAGAAACCGGCCATCAAATGCATGTCGGCTGCACGTAAGGAGAATACTGAGTACAGTTGTACTTCCAAGAGTGCGGGGGATATCACAGAGCATGAACCTATCTCACTGTCAACACGTTAATAAACCACTGAAGTCCATCACTGATAATGTTTCTAAATGTAAGAACTTCCAAAAACCCGCTGAATGCCCGCCAATTTTCTGTAAGGATGACAACTTGAATGGCAATTTTAGTGGATGCACCGATAAGAAAACACCAAAATGCGGGTGTGTTGTCAAGTCACAAACGCTCTGTCCCTGTATCCGCAAACCCGTTAAGGAGTTCACTTCGTATGTGCCTAAAGGGTAGTGTCCACCATTTAAGCCTGATCCTCCGTGCGGGTATAATTTTCATTCCGGTTCTGAAGCCCACAAAAGCGGTTTATAAGTTCACAAAAATTCAAGTAATTATCAAATTTACCTAATGTTTATTTTTTCAAGGTAATCAATACAATTGTTAGGTCTATTTAAAATTGGATTTTTAGAACATTTGATACGTAAGTATTTATCTGTTAAATATTAAATTTCTATTTTTCTTTCCCTTATTTTAAGAAGTAAAAGTACTATCTATTTTCGATTTTTAAACAAAAATCTATCCTACAAGTTACACAAATAGATAGAGTATTAGTTGAAATACATTTTGGTATTAAGATTTTGGATTTCCGTCAACCCATAGATGAGATATTCTACTTTTAAATTTAGTTAGGAAGAGAATAGTAAAACACTATTAAAACGCCGTATGCCACACAAATAATATACTACTACTTCCCTTCGTCGAAACTCAAGAGTGGAATATTTCGTCAACGGGTTGACGGGAATTAAAAATAACAAACCCAAAATTTATTTAAACTAACAGATACTTCTTTCATTTATAAAATATATAATATAGGTTATCATAAGAAAATCACTAACAGATAATGTTTTCACCCCATGAAACAAGGATGAAAAAAAAGTAATTTATAATTTTAAGTCTACTTATTTTTAATTATTATCTAAAAAATGAATTCCGAAAAAAGTTAATACTTTCCACGATACGATAATACGTTATATTGATCATCCTGTATTCTAGAGTGGCCCTTAGCTTACTAATTTAATTTTTTTTTTTTTTGACATTATTTTCCAGCTCCCACTTATTTGTTTTAATAACACAAAAAAAAATAACTGCAAATTTGGAAATAAACCTTTCAAGTTTAAGTCGTGATCCCGGGTACTTAAAGTTGAAATATATCGGATAAATGGTATTAAAATAATTCAATTTTGTTGGAGTCTAATATAACATAACTACCGTCAGGATTATTTTTGGGATTTTAAAGGTTTTGGATTTGCTTATATATTGTTTTTGTAGTTCTCCATAGACTCCTATATTCATCTTTTAGAGTGAGATTAGTTAAAAAATATTCAAAAGACTTGACTGACATTTTTTTTTTTTTTTAAGATTGTTGACAAATTTGTCATAGTTATATTTGTGTAAAGGGAGTCGAGTGCGTTTATATCAAGATCTTGTTCTAGGCTTCCCACTATAACTTCATGAATGTGAACAGGATAAGAGGATTTTTTAAGGAGGTGATAGTTGTAGAAGTGGAAACCTATACCACCGTTTGTGTAATATTAATTAGATTGTTAAAGCACAATATAGGTCATCATTGAAATGAAATTTAATTTCATGCAATTTTAATTCCATGTCATTTAGGTCCTAAGTACAGGGGATCCTGTATGAATATGCATTTTTTGGTAAAAGATAAATATAGACAGACACACGTTCTAAGCAACTTTCTAACTTTCTTTTATATTATTAGTATAATTAATAGTAGGGAATTAAAAAGGTCATTTTTTAGTATATGAGACGTCGTATGATAAATAAATAAATTTACATATATAATAAAACTATTTTTTTTTGTCATTAATAATTTTAGAGCCATCAAAATAATATGAAGACACAAAAGAGCCACGGGATGAAAAGTTTGAATAGCTCTGCCTTATAGAATTATACTCAGCAGATACATGGACATACAACAAAAATTATGAAAAATCGATAAAAGAATTTGAGATGTGGTGCTACAGGCATTCAAAAGCATGATAGTCCTATACAATTAGTCCTTTAGTTCTTGAAAGAATTATACCAAGAAAAAAGGAAGAGTACGAACATAAAGAAACTTTTTACCACAGGCATGTGGGAAGGCTGAGAGGAATAAAGAAGTGCCGTGGTAAGGAAATATCAGTCGGAAGACTGACAGTTCTAAAGAAGGAAAAAACTGTGCAATGTCGAGTGGGATAGGTATGAGAATATGCATTTTGCGTGTTATTATCGATAATATGTATAAAAAGTTAACGACGATTATAATTGAAATTAAATGGATTCAATTAATTATTTAACTAAATATGTACAGTATACACACACTTTAGTTTTACACACATGTAATTCAACTATGTTAAAGCCAGTAGTATTACATCTAGTAGTTACATAATATATGTATGGAAAAGAAGTAATTCAAATACGAATGAAATAAATGGAGTTATTGATTTCATACTGAGAATTTAAACGTACTCCAACTACGATATTACATCATAATAAAAAAATAAATTGTTCCGTAATAGCTTAGTAAACTGTAAATCTAACTAGTAGTGGTTTTTCCCTTTGGTAACCTAGAAAATAAAATTAATCTATATAGGGCCAATTATTGTTTTCAGTTTATTTTCACTTTTATAAAAAGTGGAAGGAATCTAGAAATGTGTTTTAAATAACATATTACCATGAGAAAATTTGTATTTTTTAAAGTAAAATACAAAAAATATAGAGCACTTTTACTAACTAAATAATTTTCTGAAAAAAAGGCCTAGAGGGTGTACTAATGAACATATCAAAAAGTGCCTCAAGTATTTAATGGCAGAGATGTTCAATCTTTTAAGAACTATCTTAATTTTCACGTACTAACGTGAAAAACCAAGACCATTTCATTCACCTTAAAGAGTTAGGTACAAAAACTAAAAATAAAGAGCAATTTTCGGGAAAAATGATTGGGATATTACTTTTGAAATTCAAAGCAAGATATCTGATAGGGAAAAAAATTTTAAAAAATTAAATTTTTTTTTTTTTTCATTAAATTTGTCAGGTTTTCTTAAGTTTTGATTTTATCGATAGATCGACTAAATATAAGGTGCTACAAAAAAATCTATCTAGTTGTTTTTTAATTACAGTAATATTTATAGTAGAAAAGTTGTACACACATACACACACACACACACACATAATAATATCAATCCATTCCTCGCTGCACTCAATATCTAAAATTGCAAATCTCTTGACAGATTTAGTGTTGACAGTTATGTAACACTAGCCACTAAGCATTAAAATACTATACCTTAAATTTTAATTGGAACCACTATAATCTATAACGTAGTTTAAGTTTAACGACGATATTGTAACGACTATGTTTTTATTTTCTCCGAAAATGTTTTTTATCGAAATTATTATTATAACGTCGATATTTGTATTTATATTATTTTTTTAATTTCCCAATCAAACAGGCGACGGTTTTGAAAAATGTTACCGCAAAGCGAAACGAATCACAGAAACCGCGAAACGTTTGAACTAATTTATTCGCGCACACGATCGTTTTGTAAAAGAAACCTGCACTTTTAACGAAACTTGCAGTTTTCGGAAGTACGGCAAACGGTTTTTCGACCGTCATCGTCGTCGGTTTCCGATAAAATCGGTTATACGACACCGCAATAGTCGAGGCGCCGCGCGGTCATCCCGGACGAGATGTTTCTGCCTCCTCCCCGTTCCCGCCGAAAACCAACGATACGATATTGAAAGATAAAAAGCCCCGTCGAGTCGGATAACTTTGGAAATGAATACCGTTACGCACACACCACCGCCAACACCACCGCCGCCAACACCACTGCCGCCGCCGGAAACTGCAGCAGTATAGTCGTAGAAATAATGTATTATTCGCTGTCGACCTTTTGAACCCGGACGCGCGGGCCGACGTCTATAACGACGAGAACCGTCTCGTTTTTCGATTTCGAGATCGTCGGTTCGATGGCGGATGTTAGGGGAGGGGGTGCGTGGGATGCGTTCTCATTCCCTCTCTACTCTCCATCCCTCTTCCACATCCCACACAGCCAGTGAGACGAGCCAATTTGTTACGGTCCGTGGCCTGAGTTTATCGTGCGCCCGCCGCCGCCGCCGCCGTCGTCTACTCCATCGCCAAAACGCGCTTCCTCCATCCCGCCGAATCGAACCGATGCCTGCGAAGTATTGTATCCCTACCGTACACCCGCACACTGCAGACGATCGGTTTACGAACAATTTGCATAATTGCGATTTGCGGACCACGCGCAAAACTGCTGCGTCTCTCGTCTCTCTCTCACTGTATATATATATTTTTTTATTTATTTATTTTTGTTGTTGTTATTCTCGAATCACGTGAACGATCGACGTACGCGGTGAATACAAATATATATGTGTGTGTATATAATATTATAGTATAGCGTATATAATTACTGAAGACCGACAGTATCCTATACATTGTTTACAACACCCGAGATCGGAATCAAATAATATACGGAAATCGACTTCCGAAGTAACAGAAATAAAATTAATATCGAATACGCCGTGGTATATCATGTTGATATTGGATTTACGATGTATATATTGGACAGACTTAATATGCGTATCATACTATAATAGCGCCTTCAAACGATCACGAGGGGTAAATAATCGCCCAGCTCAAATATAGACGTTGCTATAAACTTTCCGAGAAAATGTCAGGTAAGTTTACAAAGAAAATATTTTTAGAGGGGGGGGTGAAGGTTTTGCACTTTTATACTCTTATAATAGATATTTTTACATACTTTCAGCTGTAGGATTATTTCATTTTCAATTAAAATGTCAATGTTTTAAAACATTCACTTTTAGACTTTTAGATACTTATGTAACTAAATTTCACGTTTAATATTTTTTTTTAATGAATACAGCCTAAATGATAACGGAATTCATATTATTGTGATGATAATACGGAACATGCAATATCGCCGTATCAATTATAACTTTTTAAAAGCAAGAAAACCACAAAAAAAAATAGGAATGACAATAATAATAATATATACCTATTATTTAGTAATAAAATGAAACCAACATTTTTTTTATCTTCCTCATTTAAGAAACTACTTTTAAGCTTCTATTAAAAATCTACTTTCATCATCATTTTTATGAAATTTCAGAGAGAGGGTGGTGAACCCTTAAAATCCTTTTTATACACGCGCCTGGACAATTTACTTACTATATTTTATACAGCTATTATTCGC